TATATATATTATATCATTTCCAACCGCAGAGTCCATGCTCCTTCGCAATGCCATGGTCTCTCTTGTAAAAAAGTTTCCCCCACTACAAAGCCGCCAGCAGCACATGGCACTGGTGGCCCTGCTCTGGGGCAGCGGGGAGGTGCCACTGCCTTTGGGAATTCCAGATCCGTCTAAGTGCTAACCCTACTGCCCACCAAAAACTCTTCCAGCTGCTGAGACTGAGTTCCGTTGGCCAAGGCTTGTGAGAATCGACCTGGATGGAAGTGAAATCGCTTCTGGACCTCTCTGTCTTCTTGGAGGTCCCATCGTTGGCACCATTCAATAGAACTCTGATACTCAGTACCCGTTTGCAACACTTATTTCACATGCGCTTTTAAAAAATCACAGAAGTCAGATTGTAGGCCATCTGAGGGCTTTTTGATAATTGAGTCTGATGGATGATTTGTTGTACGATTGAAAACGTTGTCAGGTTTCTACTCAGAGTGACCCTATGTACAATCACTGCCTGGTCCTGCGCCAGCCTCACAAGGGTTCTTATGCTTGAGCCCATCAATCCAGCCACTGTGGCAATCCGTCTCATCGAAGACCTCCCTCTTTGTCACTGCCCCTCCACTTTGCCAAGCATGATGTCCTTCTCCAGGGACTGATCTCTCCTGACAACATGTCCAAAGTCTGTAAGACAAAGTCTCATCATCCTTGCCTCTAAGGAGCACTCTGGCCGTACTTCTTCCAAGATAAATCTTCTTGTTCTTTTGACAGTCCACAGCACCGTGATTCAAATGCATCCATTCGTCTTTAGTGTTCTTTATTCCATGCCCAACTTTCACATGCATAGGAGAGGTGACTGAGACCCCCTGGCTCGGGTCAGGTGCTGCACCGTAGTCCTCAAAGTAGCAGCTTTGCTTTTCAAAAATATTGAAAACAGCTGGTATTTATTGATCCCTTACTGTGTGTCAGGTGCTATTTTAGTGCTTTACATGGGCAGGCTAATTTCATTTTCTCAGTAACCTATCGTGATCTTCATTTTATAGCTGGGGCACTGGAGACCCAGAGAAGATAGGTAACTTGCTCAAGGTCATGTCATTACCAAGTTGGTAGAGCTGGGCTAGAACTCGGGTCCCTTGGCTCCTGAGGTCTCACCTAAGCACTTCCCTAGGCCTCCTTTCCTAAAGAAGAGGCGATCTCTTTAGATAGTGGGATATTTCAACTCACATGCATGACATGGAAGCTTTGATAGCTGTGGAAGCTCGCAGGACTCCCGCAGGTGGGTAAAGACATTAGATGCTAGCTTCATGTCTTGTCCACAATGCCTACTAGCTGTGGATGCTGGGCAAGTTGCTTAAATTTTCTGAGCCTCATTTTTCTTGCTTGACACGTGGGATTAAGGTACTCACCCCCAAATAAAAAAAAATTGAAAAAAGATACTCTCCCTTGGAGAAACATTGTGAAGAGCCAATGGGAATATGTATATAAAGTGGCCTATACACTGGGAACACTGTCTACATTCTAGGCAGTGAGGTTATCATCATCATCATCATCGTGGTATCATTAAGATGAATGGCTGGAGATGATGAAAAAATGACTTAGTAATCACAAAGAGCCAGGAGCTATGCACGCTTATTAATAAGAGGGCCATTCTCTTATGTACGTCCCACATGCTCCCTGATATAGGTACCATTAGCACTGGCTGCCTCCTTGATCTGAGTCCTGAACTGAATCTATTCCTGTTCTATTAGGACGCCTGTTTGCAAATGACAATTTTTAAGCAGTAAAGGAATTGATGTGAGGTAATGACAAATATTAGATGGTCTTAGGGGAGGTCTCGAGTGAGGAATACAACCAGCTATGTGCTGTGATTTGCCACCAAGCCCTCTGCCCCATCCTCTCCAGGACAGATGAGGAAGACGGAGACTCCGTGTTCCTGGTGAACTTGTGAATCTAGGGCTTGTGCGAGCACAGCGGATTGGTGGAACCCAGGTCGGATGTCTGCATCTAGCTGCAAGGGAGTCTGGCGTGTGAATCGTCTGACCACCACTTGGAACAACAGGACTCAAACATGTGACAAATGGTTTGGAGCTGGTTTCCGAAAATTTGCATGACCACCTATGACAAACCTGGACCACATAAGTTTAGTTCCCAACATGTTTGATGGAGAGACAATGACTCTGGGGTACAGCCTTGAAGAATGCCACCAAGAGCTCATTTTCCAGGGACTCGCCGAATGGCAGGCGGGGTTGCCCACTCTGGGCAGCGTGTGTGGTGCATCCTGCTCTCTTGGAGTTACAGGACAGGCCTCGGTGGGGCTGGATGTCCCTGCCGTGCTTCCTGGGGCCTCGGCACGTGTGCTAGCCAAGTCTACATCCCACAGGCCTGCAGAGGCAGGCAGGAGGGGTGTGTGCTGCCCTGGGCTTGCCTACTGCTGGCTTCTGCCTTTGCTGTCACCTTTCCTGGGCCACCCTTTGAGTCTTTACAGCAGCGGATCTCAACCTGTGGGTCACGACTCCTTTGGGGGTTAAAACGACCCTTTTACAGGCTTGCCCGATTCATAACAGTAGCAAAATAGACAGTTATGAAGTAGCAACGCAAATAATTTTATGGTTGGGGGGTCACCACAATGTGCGGAACTGTATTAAAGGGTCATGGCATGAGGTAGGTTAAGAACCACTGCTCTACAGGCTCTGAGCTGGGAGCTTATCTGATAGCATGTTCCTCTCTCATACACAGACCCCCCTACCCCACCCCCCACCCCAGCGGCTACCTTTTGTGCCTGCAGTGAGAATTCTTGTCACAGGAATGAAACCCCCCACCAGGAAACACAGTATAGGGGCTGGCATGTACAGGTGTGTGGGCAGGAGCTGAGTGGGAACATGGAAATACACTTTGATGTTGAATGGGAGGGGCTAGTATGAAATCACTGATGGGTGTCAGCATCTCCTCCGCCCCGCCTTGGAGCCAGATGCACACGGGCTGTTACAGGTCCTTGCAGGTGCGTTCAGGGAGGTATGGCTGTAGACTACAAGCCCCTCCTGAAGACCTTTTACTCCAGCACCCAGAAGGATAGGGCGTGAGGGGTGGGCTGCAAGAATAGGGGTCCAAGGCCCCGACTGACAGGCTGGGGAGGTGCCCCAGCTTGAGGAAGAGGAACAGAGTCTGAGGGTTCCAGAGGAAGGTGCCTCGGTGCCTCGCACCCTCCCTTCTGAGAAATGTCACTTGGCACACTCATGGCGTACCAGGCCCAGCACCCAGGTCTCACACCGACAACCCCCTCCTTGGGCTGTCTGAGACTCAGGGAGCTCTCTTCTGCAGGCCAGAAGAGAGGATCAAGGACCATGTGCAGGCTCAAGCTGTCGAGGGTGGTCTGAAGAGGAGAAAGTCCTGGAATGTTCCAGACTGGGGAGGGCTCCAAGGCTCGGGACATCTCTAAGGAAATGAGGTTACCTGCCAGGCACACTCTCAAGGCAGAGACTAGGCGCCAAGTCGCCCCAGAGGATAAAGGAATAGGTGGCTCTCTTATCCCAGGTTGGGATAAGACTCACCCCACCTCCTAAACCACAGTGGAGCCAGCCTGTTTTCTGGCTTCACTGGCTTCGTGCCCTGTTGGGCGGAGAGGCCAAACACCGCTTCTGGATGTGAGCTGAAACAAGAATGTTCATCGTGCCCCCTCCCACCCCCAGGGCTGTGGTCAGGCTAAGACTTGTGGAGAGGGCTTGGCATGGGGTCACCACCTCCTGGAGGGCTTTGATGGAGGAAACCTTTCCTTGCCTGGAGCTGAGATCCAGAAAAAAAAGGGCAGGGGCCAGAAAGGGCGACTTTCATGCCCCAGGTCACAGGGCTGGCCCTCTTTCTACACAGAGCACAGTCACATCCAGCGCCTTGCTGACCCAGGCGTTTGTGTGCCCCCCCTGCCATCCTAGGTCCTGCCAGTTCTACCCTCTTCCCAGCGGCACCAGCCCCTACCCTCTCCGTGGTCCATCCTGCTTGCTCTCAGGATTAAGGGGCCAAAGTGCAACAAATGTTTATGAGGGGCTCTGACAGGCAGGGCGTGGGAACAGGTGCAAGCTGGGCCTAGTGGCCATTGTCCTTGGGAAAAGCAGATGTGACCTCAGGGTGGTGGTGGTCAGAGTGTGGACATATGGAAACTGGGCTCCAGCAATCCGAGAATTTTAGAACCGACCCTCCCTGAAACTCCGTCTGGCCACAGATGGGGAAACTGAGGTCCAGGGAGGGGAGGAAATTCGCCAAGGTCAAACGTTGGGTGGTGCTTGGAGCAGGAGGCCGGCCTTGGAGGGCCACCGGGTTGCCTTGTGAC